CGACTGCGCAGAACTCGGAGGGGGAAAGGCACCACGCAGGGGTCCAGCCCGCCCCGGCATTGCCGCAAGGCCGAGGGGGTGGGGGCAACGCTGTCGCGACCACAGTACGGGGGGAGGCAGAAATGAGACAGAGCTTTGAAAAAGGGAAAATACCTTGTTGTAAAATCTCTGCTACATATAATCATCTGCAACTCCCGCACGAGACGGAGGCTTGGGCGCAGAACAAGCCTCCCCCGAGGAGGAGGTTTGGCTCCTGCCCACCCCAAGCGATTGTACGATAAAATAACGCCCCTCCCTCACATTGAAAAAATACAATTATCAAAACGGGACGCGAAGGGAGTAAGCCTCTTCCCCCGCCGCTCCGCAAAAGGGCGCCCACGGGACGGGGAACCCCGCGGTGGGGGGTGGCAGAGGCTGAGACCCCCCCAGCCAGCCCGTCCCCAGTCCTCGTCATCCTCCGCCCAGCACCGAAGCCAGGCCAGCGTCTCGCCAACAGGTTCGGAGTTTGCCGGCTGCTCCACATGGTTTCTTTTCCTCAGCAGCACCCAAAATTGGGGGGCTACAGCAGCGTCGCCCACAACGGCTCAAGGAGAGACGGGCTCTGGGCCTGGGGACACAGAGCTGGAAGTCGTTGCTTTTTGTCCACGCGGCCCCCAGGTCCCGGTGTGCTGGGGGGCCGGTCTCGAAGCACCACGGGCAATTCCAGCTCCTCTGCTGCCCTGGGACAGAGCTCAGCAGCTAAAGGACGTCACTCCAGAAAGTGTCAGAGCTGTAGCTTCACAAAGGGGCTCGATTTCTACAGAAACAGGAATTTCCCCCCTCCTTTGGCAGCTGAGCGCCGCTCCGTCCTCCGTCCGGCTCAGTCGGCAGGGCTCCGATTCTGCAGGTCGGTGCAGCTCAGCGCTGGTGCTTTACGTGTTCCCTTCGTCCCGCAAGCGGGTGCCGCCGGCCCGAGTACAACTACCCGGGACAGTTAACACCTTGCTACTTTACAAAACTGATCTCTTCTAAGCCTGAGAAAACTCCACAGCCCGGCAACGGGGACGGCAGGGGCGGCGACGGGCTGCTGCGGACGACGAGGGGCCCGTCGTGGTTATTGCTGGTAGCATTGTCCCTGGGTAAAAGGATGGGGGTGGATCGCAGGACGTTTCCCAGCTCCCTAATGGGAGGTTCCCACCTTCCCATCAGTAAGTTTGGAAGCGGTGCTTGAAGTGAGAAAGTTGTTCAAATCTTTAAATTTTCCAACAAAAGCAGGAGAGAAAAAAAAATAAAAAAAAAGAAAGCTTTCTCCACTCCAAGAGGAGCCTCCCCGGGCCCCTGCAAGCACCGAAACTGGACAGTCAGTACACAAGCGTTTCACAGCCTTTCCCCCACGGACGCTATCCGCTAGGTACGTCTCCAGAATCTGCTCTGTGCAGGGTCTCCCCCATCGTCGCACCACCACATCCCCTCCTCGCCCACGGCGGCAGGGAGGACGC